AGTAGGATTAATCAGTAACTTGATAATTCTACTTCTATTTTTTTTTTTTTTTTTTGGTACCAGGGATTGAACTCGGGTCCTTGTGCTTGCAAGGCAGGCAGCGGAACCACTGAGCTAAATCCCCGGCCCGATAATTCTACTTCTTGACACCTACAAGTACATAAAAAGACATATACAAAGATCTTCATGATGGCATTGTTTGTAACAGTAAAACAATAGAAACTACCCAAATGTCCATCGACTAAGAAATAATTAACTAGGAGTATCATCCAGTCAACGGAATAGCACAAGGCAGATTAAAAGAGTAAAATAGAACTATAGATAATGGTGTGAAAATACCCTTAAGACATACTGTCAGAAAGAAAAAAACCCCCAAGTTGTGGAATAATACATAATGTAGAAAAGCAATATCCTGACTAGTCTCCCTGCTTCAGCCACTGCTGCCTCATAATCTATTCTCAATACAGTCGATCAATAACTGACATCAGTAATGTCAATCTGAGTGTGCCATTCTTTGCAAAATCCTTCAGTGATTTCTCCTTGGAGTCCTCGCGAACAAAGCCGTAAGTGACAGGGTCTGCACCTCACCGTTTACATCCTCCTGCTTCCTCCCTCACTGCTCCAGCACACTGATCCTGCAGGCACCCATGGCTCACCGCACTGCTGAACGAGCCACCAATCTCCCGGCTCAGCTTCTCCAGCCCTTCCCTGAGGTTAGTTCCCTGGCTTCCTTCAGGTCTTTATTCAAAAGATACCTTCCCAGCAAGGCTTTCCTTGGCTGCCAGATTTAAAATTTCAAATGCTTGAGGGCAGGGGATTTAGCTCTGGTTCATCTGCCTGCTTCGCAAGCGCAAGGTCCTGAGTTCGATCCCTGGTACCAAAAAACCCCGCCAAACCAAAAAACAGCAACAAAAAAAACATGACAGCAATTTCAAATGCTCCCTCCTTTGCACTTCATATTGTGTTTTCCCTGTTTTTTCTCCTTCTTTTGTTCCCCCAGCACTGGAAGCTGAACCCAGTTCTGAATACAGAGCTACATCCCCAGGTATTTTTGTTTTTGTTTTTTTTTTACTTTTTGAAACAGGATCTTGCTAAGTCACTACCTTGCCCAGGCTTAGCTTTAACTTGAAATCCTCTAGAACAACGACCAGGATATACTAAATGCTCAATGAGTACTCCTTAACTTATAAAGTGAGTATATCACTTGTGTAGAAATTGCATATTTGAAAATACAGCTCTTTCTAAAAAGAGCTAAACATATTTTTAGCTAAAGAGCTAAAAAACATGTTGTGTTGATGCAAAAAGATATTTAATATTTATTATTGTCTTATTCTAGGAATTTTTTTTTTTGTCTATTATTTTATTTTGGTCTGAAAGTCTGTTTTTCCTTAGTTTCTAGTTACTTCATATTTAAAATTTTTTATTAGTGTATGTTTGCAACTTCGTATTTCTTATTTACTAGTATACCAGTGTATTTATTTCTTCTAATACTCTCCTGGTCTTATATATTTTGGCTGTTCAGTTCTTAAAATCATTTTATCAGCTGGGTTCTCTCAAGTGTTTTGTTTGTTTCACAATGAGCGATTTTCTGCTTTTCTATCAATCTGTCCATCAGTTTACCTAGACTCCTTCTCAAGATATTCATAAGAATAGCACTTTTGAGGAAACTTCACAACTTTCATGGGGCCTTCTCTAACTTGCCCACTGTTTTTCTACCCCTCCAGTGCATGATCCACATGTCAAACCATGATTAATGCCATCTATCTACATGGCCCTTCCTCGGTATTTAAAATGGGGAGAATTTTTAATTAAAGGCTCAGGTCCTTAATGACTTTTTTTTTTTCTGGCGCTACCAGGGATTGAACTCAGGACCTTGAGCTTGCAAGGCAGGCACGGTACCACTGAGCTAAATCCCTGGCCCTCCTTAATGACTTTTAAGTCCTTAAAATAAACTCTAAATGTTTCTTATTCACGGTGCCGAGGCACTGGGATCTAGCTTCTTCCTCCCCCGCCTACCCTCTCACTCCCACGCACCAGCCATACTGGCCTTCCCTCAGTTTCAGGACCAAACAAGTCCGGGCCCACTGCAGAATCTTCATACTTGCCATCCTTGGCCCCCACTTATCACATGAGACTTCCTTTTTATAGTTCAGTTTCAATTTAAATGTCATTTCTTCAAAGACAGGGTCTTTGGCCATCGTATGGGTCTTTCCCTCAAACACTGCATCCTGTTTATTCCTTCATAGTACTTACTGATTTGTAGTTACTTATTTAATTGTTACTTGTTCATTATTTCTTTTTTCTACCAGACTGTAAGGGATGAGGGCGAAACCACACACAGGCTTGCTCCTTTGTATCCCCAGTAACTAATATGTCACTTGGCACTTAATGCAGGGTCAATAAATATATCAATGAATGTTACTAAAAGGCCAAAGAACAAAGAAGGAAGCACACACTGACCAATCCATCAGCTACAGATGCATCACATCATATTTCTGCTAAGTACAGTGGCCAGAGTGCAAAGTCTCCCTTCTAGTCAAACAGAATAAATCAGCGACAAATATTGTTATTGTTAAAGACCCTGGAAAGCAGTTCCTCTGCTCTAACTTGGCCTCCCTATGGCAAATTACCATTGCCAGCTCTAGGAAACTCAGCTGGAACAAGAACAACATTTTCCTGGCCATGTCTTCACTTGATGGGTGTGGGTGTTCCCTGGGAAAATCTTCGTCTTACCTTTCTTCTGTCCTCTCGTGAACTTCATCAACAATAACGTGGGTGACTCCTTGTAGAGCTGTGTCGCCTTCTAGCCTTCTCAGCAGCACTCCGGTAGTGCAGTACAACAGTCTGGTGGCTGAAGACTTCCATACCAAAGGGCAAGGGCAAGGATTAATGAAAATGTTGAAGAAACATGAAGTAGCAAGTTATTCTGCATGCACAGCAATCATGAATATTGAAAGCAACAGCAGTTCCATTTAATGTGAAAGAACAGTAAGTACAGTTTCTTGCTGAGACAAGAATAAAAGGTTTCCTGATTCAAATAAAAAATTTAAGATTCTCTGTAAAGGCATCCAAAACTTAAAAACATTTAAAAAAATACTGAGTAACGAAATTCATTCTGAATTTGTCCCAGGTTCAAGAGCCAAGGAGCATTTACTCAATCACTTCTAATAAAGAACAACACACCTTTATAAAGGAAATTTGGTACAATCAAATAAGATTTTATATCAAAGTATTTCTATAGGGATTTCAGCCTTGCTGCAGGCGGTTATTAATTTAAAATAACCTGAAAGCTATAAACTTCTGTTACCAGGAAATAAGCAGAGTATACAAACCTTGACGCTTTCTAACCGAATCTGGTACCCCACGGTCAGACCCACCCTTTCTGCTCTTTCTTTGGCAACTCGTTCGGCAACAGAGACTGCAGAGATCCGTCGGGGCTGGGTACAGATGATGTTAGCCACCTTCTCAGGTGGCCCGCTCAGAGAATCGTCCAGAATAAACTGTGGAATCTGTGTGGTTTTCCCACATCTGTATGTCAAAACAAATGAGTCCTAAAATGAAGTTTTCAAGGGCTAGTTAACAAAGTAATCACAGGCACTGAGGAAAATGATAAGCTAATTAAAATAAATGGTACACAGCTTCACCTAACTTCTAAAACTACCCACTGACATATTACCTGGTACTAAAAAATTCTGGGAATTCGTACTAACTTTAATAGAGCAGTCAAATAATAGTAAATATCACTCATAACATTGGGACTACTGAGCCGGTGTGGTGGTACATGCTATAATCCCAGCACTTGAGAGGCTGAGGCAGGAAGAACACCATGAGTTCAAGGTTACACAGTGAGTTAAAGGCCAGTGAGTTAAAGGCCAGCCTGGACTACATAGTGAGACCGGCCCCCTCTCAAAAAACCAAAATAAATAAATAAATAGGGGCTATAGAACAGACATCAGATTAAGGTTTATAAGTGTCTCTAAGAATGTGAACTCTACACACAAACCTTAAAGAAAAGGAGTATTAGTTTATGATTATTAAAATATTCTGTATTTTTTCCACTGATGTGTTTGGATCTGGCTATAAGTGGACTGTGGCTAAAAAGATGGGAAACTGATACAAGATTACTACTATGTCAGTATGTCTGAGCACAAATGTAATTATTTGTTTTGTTTTGTTTTTTGATACCCAGGGACCAAACTCAGGTCCTTGCGTTTGCAAGGCAGGCGGCGGAACCACTGAGCTAAATCCTCGGCCCATAAATGTAATTATTAAATGTGTATTCTTGAATAAAGAATGAAATTTAGCCTGCAACTTGCCCCTGCTAAATAAGTCTGGGTGACATGGAGAGTGTGAAACAGGAAAAACAATGTACCTTAGGCCATTTTTAAAAAAATGAACATAAGAGGCCTGGGATTTAGATCAGTGGTTTCGCTGCCTGCTGCACAAGCGCAAGGACCCAAGTTCGATCCCTGGTACCAAAAAAAAAAAAAAAAAAAAGTACATAAAAGCTTTACGGAAGTCAGGAAAAATTCAGAAGATGAAAAGCTTACAAGGTAAATGTCCTGGAACTCTCCTTTATAATTAAAAATGGCCTTTGTTAAAAGTCTTTAGCTGGACCCTTGACCTTGAAATTGTCTCAAGGCAAGACACAATGTCTATAAATTACTAGATAAATTTCTGAGTTTGTTTTGCTCTTTGTAATTGGTCTCTGTGCAGTACAGGAGTTGCAATATCAGCTTCTGTGAAACAGTATTTAATATCTGATGGGAAAAACTGCCAATAACACCAGCTACAGATTTTTAAAAGAGTAGAGCCAATTATAGTAACCAGGGTACATGTCGTATTTATGGATAAAAACTGCATCACAAATAAATTACTTTCTTACCCAGTCATCCCACTTATGACAACCACTTGGTGCTTGCTTAACAATTTAAGGATGGTTTCTCTCTCTTCCCAAGCAGGGAGTGATTGTCTTTCTTGCAGAACTGACTGGAACTGTCTGGAAGCCTAACAAAATCAAGGATACGGCATCAGTTTGTTAGTTTCAGTCACCTTTCACAAAGATCTGATTCCAGAGTTCAAGAGTTAGATCTAGCTGATCTTCTCTTTAACAATTTTTTCTGAGACAGAGGCTGCAGGATTTGCCAGAATGGGATGCAGATCACTTTAGTCAGATGGCTGGCCATTTCGAGAATCACCCAGAGTAAGATGCGGAGTCTATAGTGTTTCTACACTGGAATAAACTGAAACATCTTATAAGTGAAATAAACTCTTGCTTAGCATCTATCCAGCTCTTCCTAACAGAAGTCTGTATACCAGCGCTGTCCAATACAACTTTCTGTGTTCACAGATATATTCCACACCTGCACTGTCTAATTTAGCAACTTCTGGTGATATGTGGCTATAGAGTCCTTGAATGTGGATAGTGAATTTATTTTAATGAATTAATTTAAATTTAAATAGCCCAAGATATCTAGGAGCTACCAAAGTGGACAGCACAAAGGATCAGATTTTTCCTAAATCAAAATAAGAGCACTAGGGCCGGGGATTTAGCTCAGTGGTTCTGGCACCTGCCTCGCAAGCACAAGGTCCCGAGTTCGATCCCCGGTACAAAAAAAAAAAAAAAAAAAAGAGCACTTGTCAAAGAGCTATTTTGCCAATCCTACAATCAGTTTCACATCTAATGGCTAATGCTATAGATACTATATTATACGTATATTAAAATATGGGGAAATGGGGATGGCGAAGGACGATTAATGGGTATAGAGGTATAGTTGAATGAATGGAATAACTTCTAATGTTCTACAGCATGGTAGATTCACTATGGTTTACAACAACTCTGTATTTCAAAATAGCTAGTAGAAAAGATTTCGAATGTTCTGAACACAAAGAAACTATAAATGTTGTGGTGATATACAGGCCAGTTACTATGATCTCATTACATACCACATACATGTATTGAAATGTCACATTACACCTCATAAATATATACAATTATATGTCCATTAAGAATGTTACCCTCCTACCACATCCGAGTCATGCTTAGCGTGTGCCACTAGGTGCTCCAGCCAGATGTGCTGCCAGCTCAGTGGACGGCAGGCTGTGCCGCTAGTCTAGAGAGCATCCTGGGCCACAAGTGTAAGGACTCTGGGTAAGTACTGGCAGTGACTTTCCTCACCGAGGAGGTGGATCAGCTCTTACAGCACTGTAGCAGGAACTAGCCCGTAGCTAGACTGGCTCTGACGAGCAGGTACGGCTCTGATTCCTCTTGATGCTCAGAGATGCTAACACACACGTATGCCTCATATCCTCCCCTACACACATGCACACACACACACACACACAGTTGTGTTTTCATGTCACTTCCTTCCCAAATAAGGACAAGGGACTTCTACTCTACCACAGCCTGCTACCTAGCATATGTCTAGTTTTGTAAGAGAGGAGTCAGCAAATGTTTTTTATAAAGGGCTCAATAGTAAATATTTTAGATGTGATGGTCACATACCATCCTTTGTATATTCTTGGTTTGGTTTTGACAACTTATTCATAAAGTAAAAATGAGCTCAAAGACCTTATACAGGTGACCCTTGGTCTAAGATAAGAGATGAGGCATCAGGTCATGGCGAAGCTGAGGGCTGGGGCTTGGTACCAGCTGCCCCAGTCATGAGAAAACTCACCTGACCCATACCCCATGAATGAGCTGGCCTGGGAGCCCTCCCATAGACCAAGAGGCTGCTCAGGGAGGTGGCTCAGCCCAGCTCCACAATTTTTCCCCTGCTTCATCCTGAGATCAATAAAGTTGAACATTGTGTATTTTTAAAAATGGCTCTATTTTTGAACAATGTAAGAATTTATATTAACATGTCATTTCCTACATATAACTGTATCATGTAACTATCATACTGATCAAATTGACTATATAATTTTTTATCTACCATCTTATTATTTATGGTGTGATTTTATACACATTTTGATGTTCTATGGGTATCACACTATATATTTGAGGGTGTTATACTATGTCAAAAGTCAGAATCACAGAACTTTAGAACTAGAAGGGCCCATAAAAAGCATTTAATCTAATCCCCAAATGGATTAAACAACTCGCTTTGCTATCAGTGATGGCAAGCCTTTTAGAGACAAGTGCCCAAACTGCAACCTAAAACCTACTTATTTATCTCAAAGTGCCAACACCACAATTAAACCTGAAAACTGAGGTTTTAGTTTAGAAAAACAACTCCTACATTAATATCTTTTGTCTTGAAAGAAAAACAAATAACATGTGTGCCATAGGTTCACCATCACTGCCCTACATCAACTGTGACCTCACAGTTCACTTATGGTTTTCTTTAAAATAATCTTCATGTGAATGGAGTAAAAACAATATAGACTTTGCAAACAGAGAAGTGGCTTGAATCCCTATATTGCCACAAACTGTCCATGTGTCCTTTGGCACAGTATCTATCCTGTTAGCCTTTGAAATGGGGTATGAGTTCCTCCTTATCCTTCTACTTTTACACAACAGTTTTCTAATGTAAATCACAGTGTTAATATTCCTTTCACATATCAGGTTGTCTAAGTAGTACCAAAGGCATATGATTCTGACAATATTTGGTATACATGTATGTTTGATATTTACCATTGTGAAGTTTTCCAGAACCATCAAGCAGATGCTACTGTGGCATGTAGGAACTTTAACCATTCAAGGTGAAAGAGCCAAAAAGACTAGGACTCCTAAGTCAAAGACTCCTAATTCCCAATCCTTCATCCAGACATTAGGGAGACAATGCGAGCCCTTCTCTCAGCATATTGTACCTGTTTCATTTGGAATTGTCTGCAGATTTTACTATTTTCAGCATGAACTGACTTTGCCTGCCAGTCACATCTTTTGGAAGTCTTCTTAAGGTTGACATAGCTTTCATTCTCCACTATAACAGGTGCAGGACCTTCATCCTCATCTGCTTCCTCTTCAGGTTCTGATTCTTTTTCAACTTGAAGGGAAGAGAAAGAAACATTTCAGTTTGTCCTTCTTTTGGCAGAGGGAGAAAGTTCCTGCCTAACAAAGTAACAAAATCATAAACTAGAGAGAAAGTTGAAATGTAAGGCAGGTTTATTCATTTCAATACTATTTCTTCTATTGCTGAGAAACTCAAGATGCATCTTCAAATAAATTTAAGTATAAGTAGCATTGTTACATTAAATTAAAAACAAAGAATTAAGGGCCGGGGATTTAGCTCAGTGGTTTCACCGCCTGCTGTGCAAGTGCAAGGACCCGAGTTTGATCCCCAGTACCAAACAAAAACAAAAACAAAGAATTAAGATTCAATGAATTAGCACTGAATATTCCAACTATTTTCAAGTATCCCCAAAATTCAGTGACACAAACCAACCTAAATGTCGATCAAATGATGAATTGATCAATAAAGTGTGGTATGTCTATACAATGGAATATTAGCCAATAAGAAAAAGGAATGAAATATCAATACCTGCTCTGATATGGGTGAACCTTGAAGATATTATAGTAGGGGAAAGTATTCAGTCAAAGACATGTATAGTGTGATTCTATTTCTATGAAATATCTAAAATAGGCAAATCCATAGACTGTAGATTAATGACTATCAGGACTGGGGTGGGGGCAATGGGAAGGTACTGCTGATAGGCACAGGATTTCTTTTAGGGGTAGATGACAATATTCTAATATTAGGGGTCATGGTAGCACAACTCTATAAAATATAATAAAAACCAACAAACTGTACATTTTAAAAGGGTGAATTTTAGGATATGTAAATTGTATCTCAATAAAGCTATTATTATTGTTTTTTAAAGTCCATGACATATAATTTATCATTTCCCAAGGAACACACTTGAATTCCAAGTACTAGAAGCTGCCATCTGGGAGTGAGTCAGGTGGTCAGTTAGTGACCCACCTAACAGTCCAGCACCTCTATCTCAGTGCAGTTTCATTATCCTTTACTTATCCATGCCCACCCAAGACTGAAAAAAAGATGGTAACAAGTAAGAGTGGATTCTTTGACGAAAACTGAAAAGGAGGTTTATTTGTGGTGTAAGCATCTGCATGGCACACCCTGATCTGGACAAATCCAGAACGCTCTGTAAGTATTTCTTTATGTAAAGATTTAGGATTCATAAAGACAGCCCTGTTCGAATGAATTCTGGCAGTCTAGTATTCTAAGAGCAAAAGGGTATGGATGGTATAAACAGCATAAGCAAAGACATGAAACCAAATGAACTAAGAAACATTTCCTGAGAAAGTGCTTACAGTCTTTCCATCCCTTGGATTCTTTTACAGTTAAACTTATTCATCACGTCAAACCTTTAGTCCAGGGAGCACAATACAGCAACCCAATAGGCCTCACAATTAAAGTCAGGCACAATTATAGTTCAGGGTATTCTCGTCCCTTTTGCCCATAGCACTGAATGACTTGGCCAAGATCACAGGAAGATTCTTAAACCAGCCTCAGAAGTTTTGACTTCTAAATCTGTCACTCTGAATGCCTTTCTCCCTATCATCGACACGGTACTTACCTTCTGGAATTTGACTTGAAACAAAAGAATTACTTGGAATCACTGGTTTACGACAGGCAGGATTATTCATTCTGGTCCCAGAGGGCACTGGCAGAAAGTTCACAGGAGGGACGCTGTACTTATGATGGGTATTTGTTAATAACTTGACGATTTCTGATTCTTCCTCTAAAAGAGTTATCAAAGAATATACGACAGGTTCTGAAGTTTCTGCAAATGTCAAGGCTTTGCCATAAAGGAACTCAGAAATATGTAAACGACAAGCCAGAGGTAGATTCTCATTGGTGGAATAAAATGCCACAAGGGGAGCTTGGTAGGGGTATTTATGGTCTTTTGGAAATCGAATTTCAAGCTCATATAAAAAAGATACACCTTCATTAGCATTAAGATGAGAGTCATCTACAATTTTTTCTGCTCTTCCAACAATTTGATTTGGGGGCACTTCATGTTTGAATTTGCATCTCGATCCAAATTTACAGTTTCCTTTGAGGTAAAATTTACAGGTTTCAAATGAAGTGTCTTGTACATTTTTGCTTTCCTTTTGCTTGGACTTGCAGAATTTACTTGTCAAATACTCCAGTTCCAATCCAATGGTCCAGACTCTGTTCTGAATTCTTTCCATGAATTTTTCTCCACAGATGGATTTGAGAGCAAGCGCCTCTTCCTGTCGCTGTTCCACACACTCATACAAGCTTATACGGCCAGCTGCCTTAGAGATCTTCACTTTCTCTCCAAATGTCTCCGAAAAACACTGGGTGAGCAGATGCTCTAGTGCTGCCCCTAAATCTCCATCACAAATCCTCAGGGCTGCCTGACAGTGTTCAATGTTGAAACCATACCTGTCAAGGGCAAAACATAACCAAAACAACATGTAAAAAAGTAATAAATATCACTGAAGTGAAATTCATTTAAATATGCTTATATGAAGTTATGACTATATAGGAGTAGGCCTTGTATTTTGAAAAACTGTCCCTGCTAGTACTAACCTCCTATCCTAAAAGACAGACTATTAGGCATAGCAGAAACTGGAGCCCACCTAACAGGAAGCCCACATAATAGGAAAGTACACAGGGAAAGGTAGTTGGGATTCTAATATGAAGTCTCCCCCAACTCCCATAAATAATCAAAAGCAATCACCTGGAAAGTCTTTGTGCTGCAAATGGCGAGACCAGAAATTCTGGAATATAAGGCTGCACTGGGCCTGAGCCAGTACATGCCAAGGCATCCGAGTCAGGAACAAGGGCGAGTTCTCGCCCAGCTAACCAGTACTGTTTGTCATCACAGCAATCAGGCTCGTCATCTTCCTCTTCAACAGAAACGCCTCGCCTAGCAAAGGTAACATTTTCATGGATTAGATATTAATTTGCACTTACTTCGAAGAAAAAGTTAGCAAAGGTCTAAGAGGAGGAGCCAAGGGTATAAAATCCTGACTACTCTTCAGTTGCTGATTCAACCTTTTATATTTATTTATTTATTTATTTTTTGGTACCAGGGATCGAACTCAGGTCCTTGTGCTTGCGGGGCAGGTGGCAGAACCACTGAGCTAAATCCCCAGCCCTGATTCAACCTTTACAAACATTAATTTGTATCTTGGTGATGAGCACTGATCAGGCATACATTACATCATTATATACATTATACATTACATCATTATATACATCATCATTATATGCCAGATGCTGTTAAGTGCTTTATATGTTCTTCTACGTATTCTTTATTCTTCCCAATAACCCTGCCAGATACTACTAGGATCCTGTTTTTTATTTTTTATTTTTATTTATTTATTTATTTATTTTTTGGTACCGGGGATCGAACTCAGGACCTTGTGCTTGCAAGGCAGGTGGCGGCACCACTGAGCCAAATTCCCAGCCCTATAGAGGAAATTTCTTTTTTTGGTATGGGGGACTGAACTCAGGACCTTGTGCTTGCAAGGCAGGTGACGGAACCACTGAGCTAAATCCCCAACCCTAAATTTTTAAAAATTAAAAAGAAAAAAACCTTCATCTAATCAACTCAATATTGCTCCCAGAACAATACTTTGTGTTTTCACTACAAGGTTTTATTTTCAAGGTTATCAATAAAGAAATAACTGAATCCATATTAGCACTTCCTGAAAAAAAAAAAAGATAAAAAGGCAAACTATACTACTGCTCATGGATGGTACAAAACAAACCCACTCTAAAACTGGCTGAGCAATTGCTCTCGAGTTTCTCTGGCTCACTTTCAATTAATCACATGACCACAGTGAGATCAGTATTGACCCAGGACTCCAAAGATGCACAGGGCCTTCATATTGCCAGGATGTCTTCCTTAATGGAATACTTTACTCAAATGAAATCATTTACTCAGAGCCAGCATCGGCATCTTGCTCCTGTAGGTCTCGCAGAAGGGCCTTCACTTTCTCTTGGTTCTCCGAGGTCATGTGCAGAGTCTGAAGGGCCACTTTGGCCTTGGGTTTCCATTTAGTGGAGCCCTCTTCTTTGTTCATGCTGTTGTTGCTGGGTCTGCAAAGGACACAGAATAAAATTATATAGTCTTCTGTTTGTTTGTTTGTCTTTTTTTGGTACCAGGGATCAAACTCCAGACCTTGTGCTTGCAAGGCAGGCAGCGGAACCACTGAGCTAAATCCCCAGCCCCCTTAGGATGTATTTTTAAAAATACTCAAATCATCACTGTTTCTTCATTATAAAAATAAAAATACATGTTCACTGTAGAAAAGTAAAGAACAAAGAACAAAGTCACCCCAAAATATATCATTCCTTTTCATATATAATTTTTAAAATTACAAGGCAAACTTAAAAATTTTTTGCTTTACTTTCTTATCAAAACAGCATCAGTATTTCCCTAGATTTAAATATTGTCCTATTACATAATTCTATTTGATTATGTTTTGTGCCGCTGGGACTCAGACCCAGGCCTGTGCCTGCAAGGCTGCTCTACCACTGGCCTTCAACCCCTGCCCCTAACATGATCTTCAATGGCTGTACGCGGATACAGATTTTTAATTTATTTCACTAATCTTTGTCAGAATTTAGATTTTTTTAGTAATTCTTTTTAATATTTAAAATGAATTCTAAAGTTTAACAGTATTCATTAAACTTTTTTTCATTTGGAATTATAAATTAGTTACAACTTCTGAAAATAACCCAAAATCCATCATTTCTCCCAACTTTATTTTTTTTTTGGTACTGGGGATCGAACTCAGGTCCTTGTGCTTGTGCAGTAGGCAGCAAAACCACTAAGCTAAATCCCTAGCCCTCTCCCAACTTTTTGTTTTGAATTATTTGAAATGTCCAGAAACAATCACCTTTTACGTAATTTATCAATTACCATTTGTCACGTGCATGCCCGCACACCTACACATATGCACTTCTCTTCTTCGACTCTGTGTACAATTATATGCTGATATATGCCCTCCCATACATGTGCATACATCTCTGAGCCATCAGAATGTAAGCCACAAACATATTCACCCTTAAATACCTCAGCATGTACTCCCTATGAATCGATATACTTTTATGTAAACACATAACACAATACCATTATCACTCTCAAGATACTTTATACTGATAGAATAAAATTACTTAATTACAGATCATATTCATTTTTTTTGAGACAGGGTCTTGCTGTGTAGTCCAGGCTGGCCTTGAACTCACAGCAATCCTCTTGCCTCAGCCTCCCAAGTGCTGGGATTACAGGTGTGCACCACCACGCCCGGCTCCAATTTTTCAATGATATTATTATAGGTTTTTTTAAAAAATTGAGTATCCAATTTTTTTGTTCATTTTTGTTTTTTAAGACAGGGTCTTGCTATGTAGCCCAGGCTGTCCTTGAACTTGCAGCAATCCTCCTGCTTTAGTCTCCTGAAAGCTGGGATTACAGGCTTGTGCCACCATCCCTGGGAGTATCTAATTTTGAAAGATTTGATTATCTTTTTTTTCAAATTTCTTTAATTCTGAATAGTTCCCCTGCCTATTTCCTGACACTGACATTTTTGAAGAGTTCAGGCTAGCTGTCTTATAGAAATTCAGCTAATTTCCTTATGATTAGTTAAAAGGGGGGTGGTGTGTTTCATATGCTCCTGTCTCACACCCTATTTATTTGTATATCTCTGAACTTTGCCTTCCTTCCTGTTACTAAGGATAAACCATCTTTGACTATAAAGTCCATCCCTCAATTTGGACACTACATCCTAATCTCTTTAATCTCCTCATGGAAATCATTCCAACCTTCCTCCCTCTCGCTCTTCCTTCCTTTTATTTGCAGTGCTGGGGATCAAACCAAGGGCCTTGCACTTGCTAGTCAAGCTCTCTGCCTCTGAGCTGAATCCCCAGAGCGCTTATTCCCCTTTCTACATCATTCACCCTCCCTCCCTCCATACAGTCCAACTATTGCCAACCAAGTCAAGGTTACCCAGTGTGGTTGCACAGACTCTACACTGCACAAAGCCTCCTGACTGCGGTGGGAGAAAAGGGACAGGAAAAGGTCAGTAAGAGCTAAAATCCACTCCACACTCCGCTGGTCAAGCCATGTGTGTTGCTGTGGGACTATAAGTGCCCGAAGAGGGGGCATTATGAAGGCACACACTGCATAGCAACAGCTGTGCCCAGACTGCCTGGTAATGTCACACACCTCTGCCTCAAAGCCTACATGGCTTCTATCTCGTTCAAAGCAGAAGTTCAATGACCTACAGAGCCTCTCTGATCTAACTGAACCACTACTGTCCTTCTTGTCCACGCGCTGTACCCGTGTGGCTTCCCTGTCTTTCCCAAGCCTTCTGAGCACATTCTTGCCTTAAAGACTCTACACTTGAGGGCCGGGCATTTAGCTCAGTGGTGCCACTTCAAGCGATGCCGTTGTCTGCCTCGCAAACCCAAGGTCCCAAGTTCAATCACCGGGGTGGAGGTGGGGGAATGGGACAACGACGATGACGATGATGATGATGATGATGATGATGATACTTGCTGCTCCCTCTGCCCCTTTCCCTCAGGTGGCTTCGTGGCTTTCTCCTGTACTTTCGCCTTGTCCTTGAGCGAAGGACACCCTTTTAGAGAAGCCTTTTATATAAAATAGCAACTCTGTCCTGATATTTTATATACATTTTATCCTCCTTTTTATTTATGATCCTTTTACCTCAAATATCCTTTTAGGAAGATAACTACAATATTTTACTCATTGCTGTAATTCCAGTTACTTAAAGAGAGCTATATACATGAGGTATTCAGTAAATGTCTGCTAACTGAATTAAGATTTAAGACTCTAATAACCTATAATGTCTATGTTCTGAAAAACAACAGAGCTGCAGTTAACTCAGAAGTTAAATCTTAAGCCACCAGTTAAGGTGAAAACAGTTTTAAGTCTCTCTGAAAGATTCCTTAGAATGCTGTCAAGTGTGAGACACATATTATCTCTCAATATATCCAAAATGACCATTTTTATTTGAGAATGAAAAAATATGTAAATTCTGCAGCTGAATACTAGATGAAGTATTTAGTTATTTTGGGGACCATACATAAAGAGCATATATTTTTTTTTTCTTTTTTTTTCTTGGTACTGGGGATTGAACTCAGGACCCTGTGTTTGCGAGGCAGGAGGGCAGTACCACTGAGCTATAACCCCGACTCTAACAGCATATTGAGTTTGTGTATATACAGCTTTAAAAAAAAAAATTGGGATCAACAGTAGCATTACACTCAATTCACAGTGTCACATGGAATTTTAAAGTCAACTTCAGATTTCAAACTACAGAAAGAATAAAAAGGCTCTGATTTACCACCATGCTTTTAGAAAATACCATCACGCCTTCAGAAGAGGACAGTCAGGTTATAAAGTAAGAACAGTTACTCAGAATTACTGGACCTTTGCCCCGCTCAGCCATCTGTTATCCCACAGACTAGGAACTGAGTATAATGACCTGGATGATCGCCTTGATTCACTGAAGATACAAAAGTCATCTCCGTCATCCCAAATTCTACTGGAAGCCTTTCTACTGCCACCACCGCCACCACCGCCGCCACCACCGCCGCCGCCAGCCCCATGAGATTGATTCACATGACTCCTGCTTCCCCTTCCTCCTCTAGAAGATCCTTTTCCACTTCCTTTGCCCGGCTTGCCTTTTCTTCTTACTGAAGAACTCATTTCTACCTGAGAAAGAGAAAAAAATTATGACCAGCACCATAAAATCAGACAATAATAATAATAATAATCCTGTTTTGGACAGTTATGGACATAGCCTACTTTAAGGAAATAAAGGGAAATGCTTTTTCGGGCTGGCCTTGAACTCACTATGTAGCCCTGGCTAGCCTCAAACTCCTGGCAATCTTCTTGCCTCAGCCTCCTGAGTGCTGGGATTAGAAGCCTGCACCACCATGCCTGGCAGGGAAATGCACATTTAAAAAGGGCAGGTTTAGGGGCAGTGTGGGTTAACTGTTCACAAAAAATTTATAAGTATGTGTCTCTTACAACTAGCATTTGGTTTCTCTGATGCAGATTTCTTAACTAAGGATATGTTATCATAAACCCATAGAGAAGTTTCGCCATGTCGAAGCCCTAGTCCCAGATTATGATTTGGTTAGTTCTAACACAGAATTTTTAAAACTCTAGGTGAGACCAGATCTAGGTCTTGATCGTATGATTTGATTAAAAAAATTCAAACTTACATATGCCCTATTAGGAACACAACCCTGACTCAGAGATTTTGCCTGTGGAGAGAAGCAGGGAATAAAAGACAGCTCCGAATCTCCTCCCAAAGAAGTGACTCCATTTGCAGTGAAGTATGAAGTTCAAATCTAAAGGTACACAAAGGCAAGAGGGGGATTAACAAATATAATGGAAATACAGTTTACACTATCAGCTAACCAGCTTGCCAGAGGAAACCTAGAAATGAGACCACTGGGAGGAGCCTTCTGGGATCAAACCAAATATCAAAAGGAACCTCAGAAACCACTGTTTCAAACTAAGCCCCAATTTGATTGGATTAATTTATAGAGGAATTTGTTCCACCAGACAAGCGTTTGTTTGTTACGCAGTCTTGGGACTGAACCCGGGCATCCACATATGGCTACATCCCCAAGCCCATTTTTGTTTTTTAGAGACAGGGTCTTGCTAAATCACTAAATTTCCCAGGCTAGGCTCAAACTTTCGATCCTCCTGCCTCAGCCACCCAGTGTTGGGATTATAGGTGTGAGCCTCTGCGCCAGGCTTTCACAGATATTGTTGAAAACCAATTGAGTGATCAACAGTTAGCGAGTTTAACAACTGTGTGTTGTGGTCAGAGGACAGGAGAGAGAGAGCTCTGCCTGAACTATGTCACGACAGGGCACTTCAGGCATTCCCAAAGCTGTGCCTGCCCAAGGAGCAATGTCAGGGTTTAACTCTGGGAAAACTGAGGCCCGACTCTTCCCTTTCCCTATGACAGCCAGTAGGAGCCTGATTCCCTCCCCGTTCCTGCCTCCAGAACCAGCCAGCTCCAGCTCTCTAAGGCTCCCTAGGCAGCTGCCCTCCAGGCCACCACTGCCTCTGGCTCCTGCAGCCCTGACAGGAGCTTGCCTGACATTTGCAATGCCCCTCCCCTGCTCCAGGCCACTGCTGTCACTTCTCTGAAGAGCAGGGGAGGACCACCCCTGACAGGGCAAAGACCGGGTAGGGATGGGCTGCTGGCATCATCTCATAAATCCCCAAACCCCAGTGGTCAAGGATCAACACTGCTACCCCCCCAGGAGAATCCCTGAAAGCCTCAGCAAGCTGGACTTCAGCCCCACCGTGTCCAGGAAACGCAGGAGCTGCCATGATGACAGTGGAGGCTGTCCTTGACACTCCACCGCTGCTCTGGGTGATATCCACCTTGGCGGCAGAAGACTTGAAACACACGTAACTTGGATGACTCACTAGTGGCCCCTCTGCCACCACTCAAAAAGTACCCAAAAGGTCCAGAGACACAGGGGATAATGTGTTTGGGGCCTGTTCTTTCTCTACGTAAGGGGTGTTTCTCATGCTCCTTGGGTTGGTGCAAGAGGGCTCCCTTTGGTGCGCTAGCCTGTGCCACAGCACAGGTCCCAGTAAAAGCCTCACTTGGGCAGTCCGACTGACTACTCAGGTGGCAGCAGCAGAGCTGATAAGTGGGCACAGATCCTAAACAAATTTAAAGATGGGTAAATTACGGGAGAAGTACAAAAGAAAAAATCGAGAATTACTATGAGATGTTTGGGCCTGAGCAAACTGTATAGTACAGTACTTACAGAAGAGTTTCGAAGAAGAATAGATATGAGGTAGTGTCAAAAGATCAGATTAGATATGCTAACATTTCAGATGCTGGTTATGCAAATGAAGGTGTGTAGAAAGTAGCTGGATATCATAACGTCTGCACTGAAGGGAAAGGTAATGTTATCTGGATCCTGAATGTCCCCCAAAAGTCTCACGTGTTCAGAAGTGGGGTTTTGGGAAGATGATCAGATTATGAGGGTGCTATAGTCATCAGTGGATTGATCCACTGAAAAGATCATAGCTGAATGTGTTAGGAAGTGGGGCCTGGCCACAGAGGTAGGTCACTGGGATGTGACCTGGAAGCTTGTATTTTTGTCCTTGGCTGCTCCCTTTTCAATCTGCTTCCTGGCTGCCATGATGTGAGCATTTTTCTTCCACCATGCTCTTTCACCATGATGACTGTGCCTTGGAGCCAGCTGACCATGAACTAAACCCTCTAAACTGTGAGCCAAATTAAACCTTTCCTCCTTTATTGTTGTTTGTTTTTGGTGCGGCAGGCACCAGAACCACTGAACTAAATCCCCAGCTAAACTCTCCTCCTTTAAAATGTGGGTGTTGAGTATTGTGTCCAGCAACAAGAAAGTTGATTAACACAGGAAGGATTAATTTTTAAAATCCTTTACAAACATTGTTAGGTAGATACACTATATTTTACAGAGAAGGAAAATAGAACAAGACAAATTATCCAACTTGACTAATAGCACCAACTATAAAAGCAAAGCCTGGGGTCAAGGTTTAAATAAATCGAGGTTTGAATAAATACGTTTAACTCCAAAACTGAGATTCTTTCCAAGGTATTGTCTCCTTGCATACACTTATACCTTATATCTCAATTCAAAGTTTAAAGAAATTTGGCCCCCTGTTGATTTGTGACCAGTCGTTAACTTATAAAGATAACTGAGTGGCAACATGGAGGTGAATGGCATCAAAAGAAAAGTTAGGAAGCTGGGAGTGGTGGCTGAGAGTATAATCCCAGCACTTGGGAGGCTGAGGCAGGAGGATCACCATAACTTCAAGGTTAGCCTAGAGTACTCAGTGAGTTCAAAGCCAGCTTGGACTACACAGGGAAACCCTGCCTCAAGAAAAAAAAAAAAGTTTAATGTGACTCACAAATCCCCTAGAAATGAGAGACACACAGCACCATGCAGGACCACAGGCAGAAGCAACAAGTTGGTCAGATGGCAGAAAGGAGTGAGGGTTATGCATAGGCCTGTTGAAACCAAGACTCTTGAGACCCAGGGATCTCTGAAATAAATGGGTTTAATGAGTCTTTACAGACGCTAGCCAGAAAAAGGACCACGTCCTAGGACAAATTTTTGCAAATCAGCAGAAAGACTGTAGTGGTTAGAAAAATGTCTGTCACCTGACCAGAGCTGAGTATTTTGCTTTTGAGGCAACTTTTATTTTATTTTATTTATTTTTTCACCAAGTTTATTGGTACATTTTAGGTATACAATATGATGACATTCATCATTGGGAATTTGTACCTTACATGATATATCTTGGTTCTGTTTTTCCCAATTCCCCTGCCCTCCCTCAACCCACCTACACCTTTCTATTTACAAAGACTTTGTTTCCATTTTTTCCTTTGCTCATATTTATTTTTTTCCCTTTTTTCCTTTCCCCTACCTCTCCCACTTCCTCTTTGACCTTTGGACCTTTCTCTTCCTATTTCACATTATCTATATACATTTTGATCCTTATTTACACTTTCAGTTTCTCTCACCAGAGAGAAACATGTACACGTGTGTCCTATTTATTTCACTTAAGAGTAACTTCCCAAAAGAATTAAAAGAATAAGGTCCAGGGATTTAGCTCAGTGGTTTCGCCACCTGCTGCGCAAGTGCAAGGACCCGAGTTCAATCCCAGGTACCAAAAAAAAAAAAAAAAA